ATGCTAAGGGAAGGTCTCTACTAGAGACCTACACTCTTTCATTAGGTTTGGTCTTTCTGCCTCCTCCCAACCAACAGCCATCTGCTACCATAGCCTCAGTCTTAGCAGTGACCCACTTCATGCTCGACCCATGGGGTTCACAGCAGTAAAACAGAGGAAGGCAAGTTGTGTGCAATGAGCCTCAGTGCATGGCTGGCTCCCCCTCCCCACACCCTCCACTCAAGATGCCACCACGAACTGTGGAGCTTGGCCCTTGTGCCAAGGGGGGAGCTGAGGGGCACAGAGCATGGAAGGAGCCTCCACGGCGTCCAGCTGCTTCTCAGGAGAGAGAGAAAGAAAGCTTCTGGTCTGGTGCATCTGGCAAGCAGCTCTGGCTCGACGAAGCAGCAATAACACCAGGCGACAGCTCCCCAGCGGATCCCTTTTAATCTTTCCGCATTGCCCATCTCTCGCGAGCGCCGACGGACACACACACCACGGCCTGACGGCTCAGATCTACTCTTTGCTTTTAAGTTTAATGAATGTCTCTGGACCACATTGTGGGAAGTAGGGAAGAGATACACAGCTGCAGGAAGGGCTGAGAAGACATGGCCAGATTGTACAAGGAAACCTGGAATCTGAAGTATTGCAAGAGGATGCAACTAAGGATTGCTTTTCTCCTTATAAAAGCTCCCCAGACATGCATACGGACCAGAGTAATCCAGTGCCACTTGTACAAAAGCCATGAGGAGACATAATAAATACAGGTTATTTCCCCACCACAAAGCATCAAAATACCAAGTATATTTTTCCCCCCCTCTCTTGTTTCAATCACTCTCAGCTGGCAGCAGGAATAAATGCCCGTTTGCCTGAGGTGCCCAGATGATGGGCTCCATCAGAGGCAGGGCTGGGCTTGGCAAAAATGCTCAGATGGAGCTTATGGAGGAGCTGGGTACATAAAACTCCACCAAATCTGGAAAAAAGATCACAGCCTTGGCTGCTCCAGGCAGGGACACTGTCCAGCAGCTGGTGCTGCCTCCAAAAAAAGGCCCTGGAGAGGCAGGGAGGAAGAAAAACTGGTCCCATGGCAAGCAGCAGTAGTTTCACACTTGTATGGAGATCTGAGCCGCTGCCAGACCAGCCTATAATACCTCCAAGAGCTGGGAGGCTGCAGCCTTCAGCCTATGACAAGATTTCCTCATGTCACAGCTGCCTGCCGGGCGGGATATGGTAATGTTACAGCCGCCCAGCTCTGAGATCAAAGCAAAAGATGTGCATTATTCCAGTTCAGGTGTCTCCAAGACCAGGAAAGGGAGAGATGCTGGGCTCAGATTGAGACTTCACCCCCGCACCCAGGTCTCGGTCTAGGCCCAGGCACACCATAGTGTCCAACTGAGACTGCTCCCCACAGATACCTCCCCTGCCGCCACCACTCCTCCCACTGGGAAATACTGCTCTTGCTCCAGCCCATCACTTGGACAGTGCAATACTAGAGTCCCAAGTCACCCCCATGCCTTCCTTGAGATGAAGTCTAAGTTGTGGAGAGGGGAAGAGTCCAGGGGAGTTGCCAGAGCCAAGGGTGCACCAGTTAACCCTTTCCTGTACCGCTCTGCCCAGTTCTCCCTGGGCAAATATACCACTCCCTTGATGGCTCGCTGCAACAGCAGTCTAGTTTCCCCCTCTGAAAACTTGGGCCCCCCCCCCCCCGC